GGCCATAGATGGAAAGCATTTAAAATACTTCTCCTTGCAGACAGACACGTGAGACTCGTCACTAGCCCCGTTGCTGAGAGAAGCCTTTGCGTGTTAGTGAAAGTCAAGGATCAGAAATTCAGATAAGGCTCTAACGTGGATTTCATGGAGTCAGGGGCCTGACTGTTGACCAAGTGAAGGATTCCAGGATGATCACGTAACAAAACAGTCTAACTTCAGAGGTGGGTCTCCAAAGAAGCACGGCCACTTAGTAATGAGTACAGGACTCTTCCTCATTACCTTGAGCTCAGCCTGAACAAGAGAGGGGCACAAAGGGACCCCTGGTAAGGCCTTGCCAGCCGCAGCACTCCACACCCCCGTGTGCACCCCCTTTGTCTCACCTCACTCTCCTGCAAACAGCTCTCCCTGGAATCTGAGCATCCTAAGCTCCAGGGGCTCAGGATTGGTCGTTTGCCTGGGGAGGGAAAGACTGTGGCCCTTTGCATCTGTGTCTTTAGGGCTCCACCCAGATGGGTTTGGTGAGTTTGAAGACTGATCCAGGTCCGGGGAGGTGCTTGCAATAGCCATCTCCAAATTAATGTTTTGGAGCTTGCAGAATTAGCTGCGCCCTAAGAAGCGTGCCCCGACTGTTTCTAGCAGGACGGAATTAGGAAAACTGCCATTTACCAAACTGGTTTTGAGGATTTTGAGAAGAGACTCGAGGGTTTGCCCGAACATTGAATGTTCCTAATACGCTGTCCTAAATCATGTATCTTCCCGGTGCAGGCCGTCACAAGGTGGATCAGCTGACGCACACATACATGAATCTTTGGGTAGTCATATTTTTGTGCCGTCCAAACACCTCTAAGATTAGTCAACAGGTTCATCTTTCTTATCTCTATAGCTGGTTTTACGAGTGCCACCAGGCCTCCCACTGCAAGATGGAGAGAAGAGCTCCGCCATCTTTGTATGTAAGGCCTCATGCACACCTACTCTGTGCCTATGACCCTCCCCACCTCCCAGAAGGCCGCAGGGATGGCGGCTGTCGTTCTCCACCCTCAGATGAGAACGAGTAGCAGGAGTGGGCCTAGGGCCCAAGTTCTCTACAGGCCGCTCCTGAAGTGGGTGTAAATGAAGACCCACAGAGGACCCTACCTGGCTCTTTCCCCAAGGAAGCCCCGGCCAGAATGTCTGGAGAAATACCTCATGCGACCACAGGCTGGGAGCAGGTTCTTAGGTGACTTCCTGGCCCTTTCGTATTTACACAAGAAGGCATCTGCTAAAACTAGGAATGTTCTTTCTGGCCACAGAGTGAGTCTTGGTGCATAAATCTGGGCTGATGTCACCCAGTGCTTCCATCCGCCTGTCTGTGACAAATGTGGGGCAGGACCAGAAGGGGACAAGGGATGTTTCCCTCACTTGGCTGCAGACAGGGGCTGCTGGGCTCTAGAGGTGAAGTGGTCGCTGAGTGAACCTCCCTGGAGGGTCAGGCCCGCAGGCTTAGCTCTGGGGCCTGTCTGCTCTTCTCTCCAGCCTAGGGCTGGCTTCTCAAGGCCCTGCATGAATGGGGAGCCTGGTGACCCTGGGCAAATCTCGGACTTCTCTGGTTGTCTCGATTTCCCCACTTTGGTAGACGACGTCTCTAAAGCATTTGATGATTCCACCAGCAAAGGAGAGCTACGGGACAGAAGCTTAACAATGGCCCACGGCAATGGATGGGGTGCCAGATGGGGAGGGTGGATCACAGAGGCCATCACCGTTTGGGGAGTTGCAGGGGGAGGAAAACACTTATTAACTCTGCCAGTGAATGAGCTGGATTCTCAGCGTCTGCACGGCTGGACCGAGGGCTCCGTCCTACATGTGTCCGGAGAGCCAATCCAGCTGCACAAGTCCCTGGGACGGGCTCCCTAAGTGCTGGTGCTCTGCAGCCTCTGGGCGCATCTCGCTTTTTCTGCCAAGGTGTGCCCTCTTTGAGGGCCGAGGCTGCATTTCAGCTTTCCGCTGTGTCCCTGTAGAAACTGGCAGGACACAGTGCCTTGTTGGAAGTCCTAAACATCTCTTCTTGGCGGACTGAACATTAAGAGAAGGGGTGAGCCCCCGAGAGGCACGTGGGCTTCACCATGCCGTCTGGACTCAGGAAGGGCAACAAGGCTCCTCAGACAATCGAGCTTGGCCTTAAAGACAGCTGAAAACAAGGTAGTCTCAGGGCCGTGTGGACCGCCCCCCCACCATCCCCCCCCCCGACGCCCTGGGGCAATGGCAATCCAGCGGCTCACCCAGCCGGCTGTGCACCATCCCACAGAGGGGACGCCTTTGCTAACAGACCAGAAAGTGACCCATCCGGTCGTGCTGTTTAGTCCTGGCACAAATCTGGAACATTTAATTCGGCTAACTGGGGGTTTTATCAAATGGCAGGGGAGGGGCTGGTCTTTGTTTTTTGTTTTTAAACATAATAAGAAAAGGCTCTAATGTTCAACCAGAATGTATCCTTGTGGCCCTTGTAGGTTTTTAGCCAAGTGATAATGTATATAATCGGGAAAAAGCAAACGTGTATATTACCTACATCTCCCCATAACTGCATGAGGTAACAGAAAAGTGCAGGAAATACCAAGCAAAATGATAAAAAGCAGTCTATCCCACCCCTGGCATGCCCTCCCTCCCCTGCCTGCTCTAAGAACACCCTTCTGCAGATTAGGACAGGCAATACTGGGCCGGGCTCCTATTTCCCGAGGCACAAATCACCTTACCATCCATGCTGTATCTGTTGGAGTTTAGGTTAGGCCCGTGAAGTGCTTCCAGCAAAAGTCACAGTCTGGCTTTGGCTGCAAGGATTTTGCCCACCTCGTGCACGTTTATTGCACTTTGCCTATGTGCAAAGCCAGCCGCCGGGAAATGTGACCTTTAGGGGTCAAGAAATGCGATGGAGACAGCATGCCTTGATTCTTTGGGAGAAATTCTGATTTGTAAGTATGACCCGTGATTAAGGAGGATGGTGCCTTGTCTCCAGGTGGGGACTTCTGCCCAGACTCATCAGCTAGAGTTGAGCAGGAACGTGGTCCTTGTTGAGTGCCCCCAGAGATATTTATTGCATGCCCGCCCTGCACAACAGTCCATGGCAACCCCGCTCTGCTCGGCAACAAGGACAGACTCTGCCTTCCTGAGGCTCAGCTTCTCCAGGGCTGCAGTGGGGGTGAAGAGAGGATCTCCATGGCACACCCAAACCCAGAGATATTCGGCCTGACCCCCAGGGAAGAAGCTATAGTTATATTTTAGGCCATACTGGGAGCTACTGATGGAAATTAGTGGAAGAGCTAAGTGAAATCTGGGAACCGGGTCCATCTGGCACTGTGGCCGCCTGCACCCCAGAGAATGTGGGCTTCTGAGCTGAGGACTCATTGCTCAGAGAGACACTTAGGCATGTTTGCTCCCCCTAGGGCAGCCTTCTTTGTCTGCCTTCCTTCCCAGCAAGGGCAGAGGAAGCCCCAGGCTTGCCTCTCCTAAAGACATCCCGTCACTGGAGTGGACAGTCAGGAAAGTCTGGCACCTTTATCATGAGAGAAGGAACAGACCAGCACAGGACCAGTCAACCACTGGGAGGAAGGAAACACCAACAAAATTCCTTACCACGTGTGCACTTTACAATTTCCAAAACGCTGTCAAAGCTCAGACCTCCGCTGAAGGCAGGGCACATTCTCCCTGAGCACTGTTCCTTATTTCAAAACCGAACCACCAGAAGCACGCAGAGAAAACAAAAGGAACCACCAGCAACAAGCTAGGTATCCAGCATTTCAGGAGACCCAGCTCTAACTATGATCGTGATGAAGACAAAAAAGACCCTGCCAGGCAAATCCTCTGCTGCCTTCACCGATCTGAGTCTTCCACCATCAAAAAGGAATGCGGTAAAACCAGCAGGGGCAGGGGAAAAAGGAAAAGAACAAGCGTGACTAGGAAAAGACTAGTACCATGTTTCCTGTGCTGAGTCATGGTTTTTATAGTGACCCGGGCCTGCAGACGTAACTGGGGACGAATCACGACAATCCGCACACAATTCTTTCTGACGTCATCACTTGTAAGCAAGTGCAAGAACCGGCCCATTTGTATGTATTCGCATCTGACATGATGTGTTAGAACTCACAAAAAATATTTAGATACCTAACTGGTCATTAGAATCAACAATCGCCAAGTTTGAGTATTGTCAGCCGTTAATTTCAAATTTTCAATGGGAAAGCATTCCCGACAGGGCTCTTGAGATAGGCAGAGGGTGTGGGGACAAGGAGGGAGCTTGGCCTGGATTCTAAGCCACCAGCCTACCCACCCCCCAAGGTGCAGGGGGCCTTGTAGGGGGCGGTTCTGTCAGAACGCTGTCCTCTCCACCCCGGCGCATCCCTGTGAGGCTCGGTTCAGCATCTTTTTCGTTCCTGATCTCCCAGGCTGCTTCTCCCATTTCTAAGCCTCCTTACGGAAATCAGGTTTTTCAAACGTGCCTTCAGGTCTTTCATTGGATGTGGTGGGCACGATGCTGTCCCCACCCTGGGCCCACCATGGAGAACCTCTCTGGGAACCCAGTTGTCCCCCTGGGCCCAGTGCTCATTCCCAGGAGAGCTCCCAGTCTAGCGGGCGGAGACCAGGAATAAATAAACAACTGCACACACGAACTGGGAAATGGCACCCAGTGACAACCACTCTGCAGACAACCAAAACAGGGTGGGACAGCACCTGGGCAGGCAGGGAAGGCCTCTCTGGAGAGGTGACCTTCAATCCTGGATGGGGGAGGGAGCCAGCTCTACAAGGTCTGGGGAGCAGCATTCCTGGAGGAGGGACCTGCTGGGTCAGGGCCTCAGGGCAGGAACGAATCTGCTGTACGTAAATCAGAGCAAAGGTGACTCAGGAGGAAGGTAGGGAGCCTGCAGGACTTCCAATATATATTCTGGACAGCATGGAAGCCAACCGTTGGCTGGAGGGCCTTAAGGGCCGGGATGGGTTTAGTCTACAATGTTTGGCCGTCCCTTTGGTGGTTGTATGAAGAAGGTGTGTATGGGGGAGACCAAAGGGAGGCCGGAAGACTGGCTAGGAGGCATGTTCTGGGTCCCAGCGAGGCAGGGAACTCTGACAGTGGCCTCCACAAGGCTGTTGCTGCCGCAGGGGCTCTAGCACGACCCGTGGCAATGCCCCACTCGATTGGGTATATGGCGCAGGCAGCGCCTTCTCCCACATGCCATCCTCCCAAGCTCCCCCACCTCAGAGCTTGATTAAAGCCAACTAAAGAAGACCCCTACATCATTTCTGGCTTTCAGTGGCCTCACAGAAAATAAACACCTTGCCAGAAGCTTCTCTCACTTAACCCGGCATGCACCACGTGGTCATCTCTCGGCTTCCTGGCCCCACCTGCCACCAGCCTGTCCAACTCCGCACACAGAGCCTGGTGGCTTCTTGGCATCTGACCTTTGGCTCCATCTCCTGGCTTCTCATCCCAGCTCTCCCCCTCAGCCCACTGGTTCCAGGGACAGAACACGCAGCAAAGACCCTCCTGTTTGACTTGGCCCAATGGTGCCGACACCGGTCACCGTGCCTGTGGGCGGATCTCACCCAGGCCCAGCCTCGCTGGTGGGCAGCCCTGCTGACTGAAGACCAGCAAACGAGGCTCAGAGGTGAGATAGGAAAAAGGGAAGAGACACACCTGCCGAAGGGGGCGGGGGGGCAATAGAAGCGTGAAACGCTTTCCTACAGATTTCCAGAGGGGGGGGTTCTAGGATGTTTGTCAGAATAGTACTAAATACTGCCACTGGTTGAGCACGCGCCCTGCCCCTGCTCCCGGAAGGCATTTTGCATTTTCTGATCTCACCACAGTTGTAAGGCGTGGGGATTGTCCCCACATCACAAATAAGGAAAGTGAGGTTTGGACAGCCTCAGAAGCACGCCAAGATAGCACATCTAGTGGTGCGGAGGGGCATCCCATCCCAGGCCTGGGCCTCCGTCAGTGTCAGTCCTGCAGGCTCGTCTGGGCGGGTTTCTGTGGTCGTGTTCATGGGCTTATGAGTCTTTCTCAGGCGTAGCTGTCCTTTCTGCTTCCCTCCGTTTCTCAACAGCTCGGGGAAGGACTGACCTCGATGGCTTGGTGCACTGGACCCAGGGAGCACTCGATGAGTGTTATTGACTGGCTGACTCAGGCCCTGTCTGCCCACAAGAGCCATTTTGAGCAGCTTTGACTGAAATACGGAGGTAGTCCGTTCAAGGCAAATAAGCAGTCTGGTTGATTCTGTCCTTCCTCCCCACCCCCGTTCCCAAGGCTGCCTGCAGGCTGTGGGTTCTCTCCCTGGGGAAGGAGGCCAAGAGGTGGCAGAGCGGCCCCGCTCCTCTGACAAATGTTGCCAGTGCTCTCTCCACCACTGGAGCTCATCAGACGGATCCTGATTCTCCGAAGCGAGCTGGCTCTCAGCTTGCCATGGCCGCCTTCCACCACACCCGCCACCTTCACTTGGCAGCGATGAGTGGACACCTAGCTGCTCCTTGCCAGGCAGAGAGGAACACACACAACCCGACTCTCTGCGTCCCTTCTCTGTCATTCTGGGAAATGACAGGGGAGGAAGGTGATTCTTAAAATTAAAAAAAAGAAGAAGAAGAAGTCTGTGATTACCCAAGAACTTACTTCTTTAGCCCATATACAGAGAGCTGAATAAAGTATAGACTTCATTAATAACGTAAATTGGACTCAAAACAAGTCAGGGTATGTTCCCTGGGTAGGACCTTCTCAATCCTGAAACCCTACTTTTTAGGACTTAATATTCAAAGGGAAAAGAAAAGAAAATGCACACATGTGTTCGCTTGTGAACCCTTTACGAGACTCCGATACAAACTGATGATAGCCGTTGGCTCTCAGGAGGGGAATGGGTGTCTGAGGCAGAGGAGTGGGAGGGAGACTTTTCACCATAAATTCTTTGAAATATTTTTAAATCGTGATCATATGAATAGATGGCTTATTTAAGAAATAAAGAGGCAGACTTTTTTAGAAAGCAAGAACAGGGAAAGCAAAGCTACACGGAGATGAAATAATCCAAGCTCTAGGCGACACCAGCAAAGGATTCTCCTAAAAAACATGCCATTACAATAATAACTTCATCATATTCAGATTTTGGTGGCATTTACGAATAACTTTTTCTGTAGGGACCAACTCGTTCGAGCTGCTGGGTGCCTTCCTCATGCTCCGTCAGGCCGACCAGAAGGCAGGGGGAGTTAATCTTAGGGGAAGGAAAAGTGGTGGAGAGGAGGTGAGTGGGGTGACCCTGAACCATGTTTGTAACTTCATGGAACTCAGCGAAAACAGAGCAGGAGGTGGGAGCAAAGGGGCAGAATGATTGCTTCTCCAATTGGCCTCCCCCTAAATCAACTCTGAATGAGCCCCATCCTTGATCCAGCCTGTTTCGCGTCATCCATCGCTTTGGGCCCTGGTATGGAAGGCAGGAAGAGAATTTGGAAACAAGTAAAGGAAGAAAGAGAACCAGACAAGAGAGAAAAGGAAGTGAAGGGCATAAAGGGAAGGTTGTGGACGCTCAGCAGTCGGGGTTGGAAGTGCATCTTCCTCCCCTGGCCCCCATCCACCTGCCCAGCCCCACCCACCGGAAGTCAAGGGAGCTTGTAAAAGCCCGCAGGCTAATTCCTAATTCCGTAGCCTTTAAAGAAGCAGCTCTCCTGCAGCAAAGGTCAGAGGCTGTGGCTGGAGGCTCCACCTGCCCCCAGCTGAGGGCCCCTCTGAGGCAGCTCCGTCCACCCCCAATGAGGGAATGCAACCTGCGCAGAGGGAAAAGGAACTTTGGGGGTGGGCGATATTCCCTCAAAAGAAAGTCTCCTCTTCCCTCCTTCCAGAACCATCAGCTTCAGAGTGGCGTCACTCCCGAGAGCTGCTTTCCACTTACAGATAAAAAAGAGAAGGGAGGGAGAGAAGCAAGCACAGATGTGAATTACTGGGTAATGCTGAGTGGCTCCCCTACTGAGCCCGTTGCCATGGCAACACACTCTGGTTCCTGGACCACTTTGGGGGGGGTGCAAAGAATCACAGGGAAACATCACGAAAACAGCAGTGTGAGTCTGGGCCTAGGCTTTCTGTATTTCTGGAAGCATTTTTTTTTGTACAGATGCTTTCTTTTTTTAACCCCTGCCCCTAGCCCTAGCCCTGCATGATGAGCCGTCATGGAGCATGCCCAGAGTTCTCAAACCTTCCCCATCTTCTTTTCCATACTTACACCTTTCCATCCTTCAGAGTGTCTTCCCTAAATAAAGCGGGAGGCTGTGGGATGTTTCCTCCAGACATGCTTTATTAGACTTGCATATTCAATATTGCTGTAGTCAACCTTGCATCTATAATACGGATTTACTAAATTTCCTGGGCCTATCACATTTATACTTGGTATGAGTTCTCTGAGCGCTCCTTTGTTCTGTGCCCTCTTACGGTGACAACTCCAGAGTGTGACCAGTCATGAGGAGGCTGTTTCTGCGATGCCAAGAGCCCAATCGGGTGACTGTTCGGGCGGGGAGTCGGCAGGTGGCAACGAAAGGAGGGCAACGTCATTGCAGTCACAGATCTCAGACATGAGGAGGCCGAAGGGAGAGCTGGTCATCCGACAGTGCTGGTTCCGTTTCTTCTGGAACACCTCTACCTTCTTCAGGAGAAGACGTTTCAATTACTTAGCCACTTCCTTCTCAAGAACGCAAAAAGGGCTGGCTATCTCATCAGTGGGATTGTCCTCTCAAGTCACCGGGTCTTTCTACGATATATTGAGCACCTGGTGGGCAGGTATAAGGCACCTGGCATTCCATTTAACTCTCCTATAAATTCCGTTGAAGAGAGTCTTATCATGCCCATTTTACAGATGGGAAAAGTGAGCAAGCCACAGAGCTGAGATTGGACCCCCATTGTGTCTGTGTTAGTACATTGGAGTGTACTGATGATGAAGAAGCTGGTTGGAACCAGCTGGAGGGGGGAGGAGAGGAAGAAGGAGTCAGACTCTGTCTGCCAACCCATGACCTACTCTCAGAGCTGCAGTTTAAGTTGTGGGGGTTGTAGCTTAATGTTGCTGAGCCAATTATTGGCATAGCAATTAACATACCTTCTCACCACCTCCCTCTTACTAAACAGAGGAACAACAGGGATGGGCAAGAGGGAAGCATGGCAGGTGCCGGAGACCATTCACCGAGTCCTGAGTTTATGGTCCGACTTGGGAAGGTGGGCTTCCGTAGAATGTCCTTTGAGGCTATTGCCGTGTTATGGCAGGTATTGGCATATACGGCAGTAATAGCAATACCACCAAGTGCCATTTATTGAGTGTTTATAGACATCAGGCACTATCTTAGACGCTTTATAGTCATGATTTTATATAACTGGCTTGAAAAGTTAAAGTGATTTGCCCAAGGTCCCACGGCTAGTAAATGGCAGGACTTCAACCTGGTCCATGGAGCTGCAAAGCCGTGCTCTTTTCAACACCGAGCACCGACTCCCTGAGTCATCAGTTCGTTCGACAAGTATTTGTTGAATACCTACTATGGCAGAGGCTGCTCCGATGCTAGGAATATATCAGTAAATAAAGATTCTGGACCCCACGGGAGGTGAGGGGGAGTGCTATGGAAAAAAAAAAAGAGAGAAGAAAATCCCCAAAACTGGAGTGGGAGAAGAGAGCCCAGGAGGCAGGTGAGGCCGGTGATGCAGGCAAGTTCAATAAAGTTTGGGGTGGGCCCACCAAGCAGGTGAGATCGGAACTAGTGCTCAGGGAGGGACTTAGCCACACTTCGCGCTGTCAGGGCAAGAGAGTTGCAGACAGAAAGAACGGGTAAGACAAAGGCTCCACAGTGCGCACGATGATTTCGGCTATCCCTGGGTGAGCCAGAGTCCTGTGGGGTTCTGAGCAGGTGTAAAGCTACCTCCTTCACATTTTCAAAGGATCATGGCTGGTGTGTTGAGAGTACAGTGTTGGCGTAAAGGATAGAAGCAAAGAACGCCTATTGGAGGTCACTGCTACCGTCCGGGGCGACATGGTGGTGGGTGAGGGTGACGGTTTGAGGAGCTGATGAGCAGGGGTCAGATTCTGGATATATTTTGAGGAAGGGGGATTTCCTGACAGTTTAGATGTAGGGGCTAAGAGAATGAGAGAAGTCAGTATGCCTTCAAGGTTTGGGGATTGAACAGCTTGAAAGAAGACGTTCCCACCAGCTGAGATGAGAAGGCTGTGGGTGCAGCAGGTGTGGTGGGGGAGGGGGCCCAGGGAGTGGTGAGGAACTCCGTTTTAGACACATTGAGTTTAAGATGTCTGTTCACTCCACAGAGATGTCAAGAAGGCCTTTGGGTATATTTTGAATGTGGGAAATATTTCAGAACATCTATAAATAAGTATGACTTTTAAGATTTCAGGTGTAAGCTTCATTCACCAGGGGAACAAAAAAACGGTACCAAACTTCTTATTTTGCATAAAATGCCTCATGGATTAAGTACCATAGTATTCAGTACAATAGAAATTCCTGACCTGGCTGGGCAGGAAAAAAGAAGGAAAATCACCCACAAGCAGAAGAGGAAGCCGGGCTAGGATTAGTCATTTTTGTTCCAGATAATCAAGAGCTGGCTGAATAACGTTCAAAGAAACCTTATGTCCGAGGAATAAAATGCATTTGAAATAAGTACTTTAACTGAACAGAGAATTAAAATTTTACATATAGATCTGGAAATAAAAAGCCTGATTAACTTCACACTAGGTTAACAAAACTCCTGGGACCTAGTCGTTGACCAGAAGTTAACCAGAGGGCCAACAGGGAATTATTGGTTTTCTTTCTCTGAATTAAGAAGGAATGGGAAGCATCATTGTTCTACCCGCTCCACACCAAATTTACGTTAAAGTGTTTCCAAATTTCTCGACTCATTGCTACAAGTCTCAGAAAAAGGACAGAGTTGTCTCCCAAGGGTTGGAGCTCCCGCTTTAGGTAAGTTACCGCCCCCAGCGCCTTTCCATTCTGAGCCTGCGCTGTTCTGTGCACCTTTTGATATCTCTCCTTTTTGGAGTGTGGGAAAGAATATCATCAGTTCAGATCCTGGGACACCACCAGCCAAGGCTGTGAATTCTCAGGTATAAAATAACCATGGAGACTTTGAGAATTGGCAGCACCATCTCAGTCTGCACAAAGTTCCGAGAGCTCGTATAAAATACTGCTCACCAAGGCAGAGCTGAGACCTCAGTGTGACAAACAAGATTTTAAGTCTTGTTGGAGAAAACTGGGCGCCTTGTCATGGAACCCACTGTAGACATCTTGACATTTGAATCTGTTTTTCTCTTGGGCTCTTGATTCTGTTTACAAAACCTCTCATCATCACCAGCAGGGTGTATGACTAAGGGGGGGTCTGCATGCGTTGAGTTAAACAAAGACAGCCTGAGCCTTGGTGGGCACTGGCAATGTTTTTTGGATGAAGAGGGACAAGGAAACACCCCTAGTAGTTCATCTTGGCTCTTCCATACACCTCCCTGAGTTGGTCCCTCTGTACTTAAGGATGACAATTTCTGTCAC